CTTGCAGCTCTTGTACAACTAGACTTGTGCTCTTCGCGTGTTCTTCGACCATTCGTCTCCTGTGCGATGTGTCGAGATGGAAGAAAATTCAGTACAATCATCTGCACGCTCTCTCTCTCTCCGTTTCTCTCTATCTCTGTCTCTCTCTCTCTCTCTCTCTCTCTCTCTCTCTCTCTCTCTCTCTCTCTCTCTCTCTCTCTCTCTTTCTTTCTCTCTCTCTCTCTCTCTCTCTCTCTCTTTTCTGTCATTTTCTTTCACTAAGCCTGTGGGTCATGTGCTTGGTACTTTCGTTTTGCCCTTTTCTCCCTTTCGACGCCCGAAGATGAAAATAAAAATCTGTCTTCTGTGTTACTGACCTTCTTTGCCCGCTATCCCTGCCGTACATTCCTCATGGTCCCTGTCCCTTTCGTTTTGTTTTTTTGTTCGTGTTTTCGTTCTTTTTTTCTTGGAACCCTGCTGCATCCTTCGTTGCGTCTCTTGATGATCTTCTTGTTCTGATCTATCGCTCGCCTTTGTCGCTTTTGTTTTTTCTTTTCCTCTTCGCTCCAGGAGGTGCTCTGTTTTTTTTTTTTTGTGTGTCTGTTGCGTTTTCGCGCTCCTCTCTTTGCGTCTCCCCTTCTCTGTCCTTGTCCTTCGCGGTTTTCTCCTTGCCTTTGTTTTTCTCGCTCTTCCTACGCCTCTCTCTCTCATCTTTTCCTCTCCTCATTCTCCTCCTACCTTAGGGGGGGTCTGGATGCACGCCGTTCACCCATATCTGTGGGACGTTGACGTTGACGTTGACGCTGACACGTGGCGAGATCCCCTTCGTTACCAGCATACCAGTGAAGAGCTCGTTGTACTCTTTCACTGCGCTTCCGACACCGTAGACCACCTACGTCGTCCCGACGGTAGGGTTCCGTGGGATAAGCCTTGGACGGCCCAGAGAGTGACACGTCAGCGTTCATACTGGTGGCCATCCCAGTCCACATTATGGCACCTTACAAATCGAACAAACAAATGATGACGAAGCTCACAAATCGACCAAACGAATGATTACGTGGCAGCACACGAATCGAACGAACCAATGATATGACGCGTCAGCACAAATCCAACGAGTGTATGGTGACGTGGCACCACCTTGAACGGGCTCCTGATGACGTGGCAGCGCGAACCATTCTCTCTCTCTCTCTCTGTCTGTCTTTCTCTCTCACCGCCCTTCTCTCTTCCTCTCTATCCGTCTGTCTGTCTGTGTCTCTCCCCGCTTCTCCCTTGCTCCATCTCTTCGTCCCCCTACCGTCTTCACCCGAATAGAACGCCCGGTCATTATAGCCCGTATCTGGTGTAACGTTCGGTCTAGATACGGCTATAATGACCGGGCGTTCTATTCGGGTGAAGACGGTAGTCACGCCCTCTTGCGTCTCCGTCGTCTCTTGTTCTCGCTCTCTCGCCCCTCCTAACCTCACCCCTTTTCTCTCTTACGCGCGCTACTCAATTCCTCCCTCTCCTTTTCTCCGTCCTCCCTTCCTCTCGCGCCTTCTCCCTCGTCCCTTTCTCCCTCCCTCGCGATCGTCATCGCTCCCTCTCCTTCTTCCTCCTCCCACCCTCTCTTTCTCCCTCTTCCCTTCCTTCCTTTCTCTCTCTTCCTCCTTTCCTCCCTGTCTTCATTCCCTGCCTTTCCTCCTTTTCCCGTCTTCTTCCTTCAACACAACGTACCCTGATAACGGCTTTACCGGGCCGCAAAAATAGCCTGTATGCATTGATGATCAGCGCACGCCGTGCCCGGGGGAGTACGGGAGGTCGTGCTTTCTCCTCTTCCTCCCATTTCTTGCCTTGCCTCCCTCCGTACCTTATCCACTCTCCCTCCTCCCTCTCTTCCGTTCTCTCCGTCATGATCGTTCTTTCCTACCTTTTGCTCTGTCCTCTCTTCTCCTCACTTTCCCACTCTGCCTACGTCTTTCCTACCAATTCACTTCTCTATTCTAATTTCCTCTCTCTCACCTCTTCTTCCCAACCTCTTCCCTCTCTTCGATTTCGCGCTCCTACCAAACTATCTTCTATCTGGTACTGCGTGTGTTTGAACCAACGTCCTTCTCTCTCTCTCTCTCTCTCTCTCTCTCTCTCTCTCTCTCTCT